CGACAAATGCCTCAGCAACGGCGGCCGCTTCTTATAGTCATTCCTTGTAAAACCCTCGAAAATCATCTGAAACCGCAAGCTGAACAAACCCATCCCACACGACATGGTAAAAGCGTCTCCACATTTATTTACATATATATATATAATACATATATATATATATATACAATATTAGGTCCCTTTTTGGGTACCTTGAATATTAGGTGCCGTATCATAATAGGGACCCAAAAAGGGACCATAATTTTGACAACCACCCATATACACCATACCCTGCCCTATAACCATAGCATGTGACATCGTGTCCTAGAATACTGTAATCTCCGATTTTATATACCAATCATAACGTACTGTATTTGAAGCCTTAGGGAACACCCTGCCTGCGGCGTCTCGAGCGGGAGACGGTTCCAGACGCAAACGTACGCCACGGCCATGAAAGGCCCGCCAAAGAGCCTCAGCTGAGGGAATCGACCCGGATTCGATTTGGGTTTCGGGTTTAAGGTTTAGGGGGTTTAGAGTTTAAGGTTAAGGGTTAATTTAGGGTTTAAGGTTTAGGATTTAAGGTTTCGGGTCTAAGGTTTACGGTTTAGGGATTAAGGTTTAGGGTGTATGTAGGGTTATAAGGGCTATAGGGTTTCTTTCGGGTTTATGGCTTATAGATGTGGAGGGAAAGAGCCTGAGGGCTTTAGAGCTTTCTCGGCTCTCTCTGAAGCCCTGAAGGCAACAATGGGTAGTGAATTTTCCGACCCTCACCTCAAACACCACATTTAACACCAAGCAGTACACCCTAACGATTCCTAAAGCCCAATTAATGCAACCAAACCCTCAAACAAACTAACTAGAGGACCACCCCCCTTGAGCTGGCGGCTGAATGGTAGGCTGGGTTTAGGGCTCAGGGTTTCTTGCCAAGCCAGCCAGGTTCCTAGAAGACACGCTGACGCAGATTTCCTGCAAACCTATGGCTTATAAGTTTAGATACCCTACTTCTATAATTAACTACCCATGAACCTCCAAGTACAACAAGTCGGTGAATAGGAAAGCTTGAGGCGAGGCCGTAGCCCTTATAAATCAGTGACGAGCATTGAGGGCGCGTTTCCTTCAGGAGCTTAAACCGTATAATGCCCTATCCCAATAAAACCCAAAACCCCTTGAAAGCCCTCTCCCCTGAACCCTCCACCGAGCGGCAGCCAGGGCCGGCGCCTCCCGAAACGTGTGCGTGTCTTGTCGGAGAGAGCTCCGATCAGGGTGTCGTTGAATGCATCAAAAAGGCCGACGCAGAGCCTGATCTTTAGGCTAAACCCTAAACCGCGTTTACAAAGCACCTCAAGTTTTTGTATCGGTATTCTAGAGGATGTCAAGGCCTTTGCAGGGCTGTAAACTTACTTGTCCAGTATTTTAAGGAGAACTTAAGATCAACTGAAACGGGATTGTACAGGGATCATAGTAATTACACCCCGAAGAGGTTAAAAGTTACCGGCCCTACGAAGCACAAGGTTTTCCGCATGTATTCCAGAGGACGTCAGGGCTTCCAAACAGAGTTCGGGAAGGGAAGGGGCCTTGCGTTGTGGCTTCGAAGTTCAAGGTGTTGGAGTCTATAAGGGAGTTCGGGGGCTTAGGGTTCATGGCTTTATCGGAGTGTGGGAGTTTACATTTTGGGAAGTTCTTGCGGTTTGAGGCTTAAGGGTATGGGGGGCTTCAGGATTGGGTTTGGAGTCAAAAACAGCTTCGAGCTTGAGGGGCTTCTGCGTGGGTGCCGAGGCTTTGAGTTTATGGATTTTGGGCGTTTGAAGTCTTAGTAACCCTTATGTAACACTCATGGCTTCCCTTACCATAGAAAATCTATATGGACCTTCGAAGCCGAACCCCAGAGTCAGCTCAGGTGCTGGATGATGGCGACGAAGACTGGCTCAATGCAGCATGACTCCAAGAAGAACTTGTTCCTGGGCTTCGTTGCTTTGGGTTTAGGGTATCTAGGGTTTCGGGATGACTATGGCTCAATTAGTTAGGGTTTGAGGTTCCACAGTCTAGGGCTTGGGCCCATGCGGGGTTCACGTCTGGTTTCCTCGGAGTCGTCGCATTGAGGTTCAAGTAGGGCATTACGACATAGGGGTCTGGGGCTTGATGTTCAAGACACTTAGACGCTGTACGTACATGGGTTAGAAGAAGCAGAAACCGCGAACACCAACTCCTAAACCCTGCACATATATTCCCTATACTCCTATACTATAGGTTGTCGGGCTGTGCGAGTTGGGTAAACGAGTCTAAGATCTCTCGTTGAAGGTTGTGGAGTTGATGTTGCATGGACCTAGGCCCGAAAGACACGCAGGCTCCTCCGAAAATCGAGACCCGCCCCATTAACAGACCGGAGACCCCTGCAACCACAGACCCGGCGCTGAACTCTAAACCCTCGAGCCTTCAACTGCGCAACTTACAGGAACCGCCAGGGTAGAAGCAAAGCCAGAATCCAAATCCGACGCCGTCATCAGTTAACATGAATGTTAGGGTTAAGGGTATTCAGCACTACGCCGAAACTGATCGAAGAAGTACCTTCAAAGAGCCTTAAAACCCGACGCAACAAGAGCCCAAAGCCTATCCCGATCCTCAGAACCTAACCCAACCGCCAAGATTACTCCCTCAACCCTAACCCCTTGATCGCCAGGGTTGAGCATTGTTGAATCCAGAATCCAAAGAGTCTTAACCCGAATGCAGGCAATTCACTTACTTTGAAAGGGACCTTGAAGGATATGGTGTGCTGCACTCTGCTCATCTTTTCCGAACCCCTACATCCCCCCCGGACCCAACCCTCTTAAAAACAAGCTGAGAAAGCCATGCAACAAACTCAACCCCCCGCGACGCCACGCCCGATCAATGAGTGACCCGCCCTGAAGAAACCGTCCGGGGTCAAATAGAAGCCCCTAAAACCCCAAACCCTAAACCCCAAGCCCCAAATCCTAAACCCCCAAACCCTGCAGAAAACCGCCGAGGCTCAAGTAGAAGCCTCCGATGGTGATCCAGATGCCTTCGACTCCCTGGCCTAAACCGAGCAAGAGCTTCGATCGCAGGGAGAGCCGGTCCTTTGGCGATGAAAGGAAGAGGCCTTCAGAATTATTGTAGGGCATGGGGCTTACGTTTGTAGGTTCGTGTTTACGCTCTGGGGTTTTAAGGGTTATCGGGATTTCGGGCTCAACGGCCTAAGGGTTTGTATCATTGCTACTGCTGGTGTTATGGGTGTTCTTCGGCAAAGAAGTCAAGATGATAATTGCAGTTGTGAAAATTGAGTTACTGGGAGTGTACCTTTAGTCACTTTAGTCCATTGCAATGCTGGTCATGATGATGTTGATGATGACTGGCATTGCTTTTGCGATGGTCCGAATGCTGATCACATTCAGGGGCGGTGATGGTGTCAACTCCTGTCAGGTAAATTGAGACAATTTTCCAGCTGCCTATCAGTACTTCGATTGCCCTATCGCTAAGAGTCAGATATTGCATCGCTGCCAGTTCCAGCTCCTGACAACCCAGGACCCTCAGATTTAACAAGACATGACCCTCCGAACAGGAGTCAAGGCGAGGCCGCAGGAAGACCCTCAAACGGCTTTAGCATGGCAAAGTTTGCGTCAAGAAAAGGCCAGGCCTTGCTGACCGGGGTTTAGGGTTCCCTTCTCTGGAGTACTATAGCGCTTGAATACCAGTGTGAGGTCCTCTAGCTGGCTTGTGAATGGTGTTGCAGGGGTAGCCACAGGCTTCGTGACATGAAGAGTTAGGCGTAAGGTTGAGGCTGCGGTAGTTGACATCCTCCCCTTGAGCCCTGAATCCTTAACGGAAGCCCGATATGAAGTACACGATTTCATCCGTGAGCCGCAGTGCTAGCGGCTAGCACCTACGGATCCTGTTGCACAAAAACTGGATTGCCATCTCATATGCTAGAGCCATCCTACACGATATACGTGATCAGTGGCTAGTAACAGTTCAGTACACTGCCACCACCTGAACACTAAAGCCTAAGCCGATGACCCAGAAGCCAGAATCGAATGCCGAAACAGGTCCTGGACGGACGGGGCTGCGGCTTCGGCTTTCACGCCGGCCATCGTCCGTGTGTTAGCGGCTTGACTGACTAATGTTTTTACTTACACAGAGTGCTGAAGAGCATCTTTCACGCCACGAAAGCTGGACCACAATCCAGCATCTAAAGGTCTGATGAAAAGGTTAGGAGGTCGAAGGCCCAGGCAGGGTTGAGGGTTTGGGGAATATTGTGATTCGTGGTGGTCCTTCTAGACACCCCGTAAACCTAATAACAAGGAGCTAAGCTGAGCCGACAAGGCGGACAAGCAATTCTGCGCTACCGAGACTCTCCATTGCAGAACAGTGGAGTTCGTAAAGAATTTCCATCGTCAGGGTTACGGTTTGTGTTTTACGTCACAGATAACCCAGCTTTACTTATTTCCATGGTCAGGACCTGGTCACCAGCCAGCAAGCAACAAACGACGCAAATTGCAAGTCAAAGTCCAGCATCCTTTCCCTTTTAGAAAACTAAGCACCTGAACCTGCAGGGCTGTACTAAAACTTAAAGTACAGATTGAGATGAACGTCTAAGTAACCCACATTCACCTCCAGAGGTTTCAGTCTCTGTACTTGCAACTTGCAACCGTTCCATGGGACAGGTTTCTGCTTGAGGTCGTGCCGGTTCACGAAGCCCGAAAGCAAGGAACTCAAACCCCAAATTCCACCCCAAGTCCTACATCCTAGATGCTAAAATGGCTATACTGAGATCAGTATTCCCAACCGCATAGCACCTAAATTCTGGACCCTACACCCTGAACCCTACGGTTTATGATCCCCAACCCTTAGCACCTTTTCGCCGAATCCCAAAGCCACATCCCCCTAGCTTCGAGGTACCAACCCCACAAAGCCTGAATCCTACACCCATACTCCCAAACACTAGGTCAGACCCCAAGCAGTGCGTAAGCCCCGTAAACCCTGCACCACGAAATCCCCTGCCGAGCTTCTGCTGCCACGGCGTCACGAGGGGACGGCACGAAGGAGCCCCTCTCGGGGGTGAAAGGAGCCTCTGTCTCGATGCGTTTTGTCAAACTGTAAACTCCCGAACCTGAACTCTCGGGTTTAGGTTGTGGGACAGACAAACACAATAGTTTTTAGTTATTGAAGAAAAGAAATAAACAGATGATCAAGGAAGTGCACATATATATATATATATATACATACATACATACATAGATATACTGTGGTACATAATACATATGCAGATTCGATATAGATGTAATAAACGGGCTTTATGATATGTTTAACATATGCTCACTCTGGGAACCCCAAGCCCAAGCCCTCTTCTGTTTTACGGGCATGAGACGAAACGATCCCTCACCCCTTCAAATCGACCACCCTGCGACAAAACAACGGAAGGCTCCAGACGCACCCCTACGTGTAATGTATTTGGGGGACTTGATAATTAGATAAGAGGTCTTGGGGTACATTATGTAATTAGAGTAAAAACCCTTGGGGAATGTGTTCGACCTTTATTTTAGGCCCATTTGCTCAAGAGACATTCAAAAGCTCAATAAAAAACCGATGCAGGATTCTGGATGAACGAACCCATAGGATGATCTTTGTAATCGTTTGTTTGAGAAGTGAGTCAAGGTCTCAGGGTACACATGTTACCCCAATCAGCAGAAATTATAGAGATCCTGCCTGAAAAACGTCGGTAATGGTAGGTGAAGTCTCGCAAGACTGTTTTGCACACAGCTTAAGCATGCACCCTAAATCCTAAAACTTACACCGTGCACTTTCCCCTGAATCCTACACCCTTGATCCCCACGACCCTAAACCCCAAACCCTAAACAAATTGAGCCTTAAACCCCTTAGCCCTTTAAAACCCGAACCTTCCTCTGAGCCACTGGCCGTTGACTGACGCGAGGACTTGTCCGACAGGCCTGTGCCAGGGGTAATGAATCACTCAGGGTCCAAGTGCTTATCTTTTCGAGACATAAAAAAGCTAAGAACCTGTTATTCAAATATCCAAGGACTTGCTTGTCAACTATTCAGAAATCTAGCGTTTAGAGCGTTGTGTACGTACTCCACAAAACAGGAGTTTCTCTTATCCCAAACCGTGTCACGGCTTTTGCTTGGTGCTGTGGACCCCCTTTAGAGGCAAGAGGGATTTGGGATTGGGCATCGATGCTTCGGCAAGCGATCTGAAGGCCAATGGTTAAGTTCTCCGAACCCCGAACGAAACAGTTTTGAAACCCTGCACCTGTTAAGCTCTACTAAATACACGCTGAAGCCGGTCCGATAACAACGAACCCCGCAACCCTAAACCAGCCTCCCCCCGACAGCGACCGCATAACGGGACGGCAAGTCGGAATGCCTGGCGCCGACACCTGGCGGCGCAGGGATCTGTGAAATTTAGAGGGTAAAGGAGTTCACCGGGTTTAGGGTTTAAGGTTTGGGATAAATATCATGATACCAACCAACCTCAACATTTATCGAAGGTCGTGTTTATGTACGTTTTTTGGATGTCCTTTACTACGGTGCCCGAAGGTCTCCACGAGGCTTACACAACCAGGACGATGTGGCTCAGTTGGCCCCATCGGGGAAAAGTGAGCAGTAGGGCTTTAGAATTGTAAGGGTGTGGGCCATTAACAGCAGTTGCGTTCGGCTCAAGTCGGCCAGACCAATCCGTGAATCCAAATAAAATCAAAGATGCTGCATATTTTGCACACGTTCCTAAGGGCATCACCATCACAAGCACAAGATCATCGGAAGCGTGACCAACGTGACAAGCACAAGATCATCGGAAGCGTGACCAACGTGACTTTGGCGAGCATGAGCTCTATGACGCTGTCGGGGTCAAGGCCAACCCTGTTGCAGTTCTCCTGAAGAGCACGAACGACCAGGAAGCGTTGCTGTGCAATACATCGGCGCTGATGGTGATTACGATGTAAACGTAACGACCTCATGGCCGGGTACTCTACGAACCCCATGTGCCGCCAAAATCCACGTGCTCCGCAGCTGAGTGGCTCCCAACCTGGCCCCACAACTTTTTCCGTAGCAAGCCAGCGAGTATTTCTAGCCGCCCCGAAAGCCTCAAAACTGCGAGCAAACTTGTGTTTGCAGCGCTTCTTTGCTAATGATGCCTACCTCGACATGTTCTTCTCCAATGCCTGGCGCGCAAGAACAAGTCGCAACGTCTCTTTTCCGATACTTGTGCAAGGTTCGACCCCGGTTGTGACAAGTGCTTCTTGCATCATCTTCGAAGTCAGGGTCAGATCCATCATCATGGCTTCGCACTCGCTGCCCCAATCATTGGGGAGAGCAACCTCTCGCCACCGTGGTTTGCACCATAACGGTATAGTCCTAGCCGCTGCAAGCCTGTTCATCGGCAGCGTGATCCTGTCCACGACATGAAAAAGTGAAACATTTCGCCACGTGGCCTCGACCCACAAAGGTGGAAATTGCCATGACCAACATCTCCTAGCTCTGAAAGCCTTCTGGATTTTCGAAGCCGCCTAGGAAGGAAGCCGCCGGAACCCACACAGCCAAGTCACCTCAAATCCTACATGCTTATACGAAAACCGAAATCCGAAACCACCAGCGGAAAATCACAAGTTCCCAACTGGAACACCTGATTCCAAGAACCACCGACGGCCAGAAAAGAAACACGATCGAACCGACATCTGCAGTTTGATGCTTTTTGAGGGGCCTGCGAGACATCGTCATCTCGGGCTCTAGGTTGCGAGTCGAGTGTAAGGTTTCGAGTTTAGACTTGAAATCACAGGCCTGAGAAGCTGACATCAGCTTTTCGTCTCATATTGGGCGAGTCATGTACAACCTCGTGTGTGAGCATCTTGCTGACTTAGTCACTGGTTAACAACACGTAAGCTATCATAATCGCACAAGTAAGAATGTCCCCGTGCCGTCCTCACATAACGGTACTGTGACATCCCCCCTCCAAAAAAACACAAAGCTGAGCTCCACATCCACGCCAGCATCACCTTTGGTACAGCGACCGCCTTTCCCCAGGGAGCTCTCTGGTGGCCGAAGACCTGGAAACCCTCCAACAGAACCCTTCAGGGTCCAGGGCTTAGCGATTTAACATTTTGGGTTTAGGGTTTACAGAATCTTGATTCTTGCCTTACTTATATTAAAGCTTCAAGCTGCAAGGTTCAAGGCCGTCAAGATTAGGGTTCAGGCTCTAAGTTTTGGGGTTTAGAGGTTGAGGGTGAAAAGCTGAGGGTTCAGGATGTAGCAAGTGGTTCCCGATCCCAACGCACTCATCCTTTGGTAAGGCTCTGCGCTGTATGTTTTATGCAAAGACGGACAATGTTAACATGTCGATGGCGCTAGAGCCCGCTAGAAGCAGAGTGTCCTAAAAAGGGAACCCGGAAACCTCCAGCCCCTAAAACCCTAAAGGCCACCAGACCGTCACTCAACCCCAAACCCAAAATTTCTGAGACCCTAAAGCTTCCAAAACCCTACAACAACTTAAACCCTTTCAATCACCCACCCTAAACCCCAAACCCAAAGTCCTTAAAACCCCAAACCCCTACCTAAAGCCTTCACCCTAAAACGCCTAATTCTACACCATCAAACCCTGAAGCCCCAAAGCTTGAAAGCTCCCTGCAGGCCTTGACGACGAGAGGGACCTCGGCATCTGTGGGCTCGGAAGCCCCGAGCCATCGACGGCGGTGTTTGCTTTATTAAAGGAGCCTTCGTAGATTCTGAAGGCGGGGTCATGCGCAGGACTCTTTGACCGAGTTTGGACATGAGAATGGCCTCCAGTTGCTTTCAAATCGTCATTCTGCTTTCGCTGCAAGCTCCGTGAGGGTTTAGAGGGAATCAGCTCTTCCTTGCGATGTGCTATACTGGAAGCCATTCAGAAATACACTGCAAAGTTCTTGAGGCTCCCCGCCGGAATCGGAACGACAACTATCGTCATTTTGTGTTACTATTAAACTGCACTACTACTATGGTTATCGTTGCCACCATCATCGCTGTCACATCTATGACTTCTAGTATCGTTCGTGGTAATACCTATGGTCATCCTCGAAATTCTCTTGCCATGATTTTCGTCATACTATCGGAAATTGTGCGATTGCTGGCCGGCAGAAAGGCTTCGTTCCTGCTCGGTAATTGTCGAGGCAAGTGGGCTCGAGATCGATCTTTCAAAAAAATGCCAAATTCGACTGAAGCCCAAAATTCCGGATTCGATGAGCCTTAATGCAAGAATGCTAGAGGACTTGCCTCATGCACGCGTTTCATCGAGGATGGGGCTGGTTGGTTGATCGATGCCATTCTTGAGCAAGGCAGTGGGTTCCGAGATATTGCTTGCCAGATTCAGATCAGAATGCAAGCATCCAGAAGTTCGCAAATGATCAGTGAATGCTTTGAGCTGCTGCTGCATGTCCTGAGTGGTTGCAGTACCTCCACCGATGGGTACGCCCGTCCGGAAGAACTCATGCAAGGCATGGACTTCAGAGTGCACCGCGGCAGGAACTGTCATGATACGATGAGTCAGCTGACCATCTTCAACCGCTACGAGCTGGGAGATAATGTGAACTTCTCGAACCCAGGTTGAACCTGGAGTTTGAACTCTATGTTCAAATCCTGGGTTCGGGAACTCTATGTTCGAACCCGGGGTTCGGGAACTATGTTCGAACCCGGGGTTTGGAGAACTCCACGAAACACTCGGGCGCCTTGGCAGTTGCCGGCGGCGCAGCCAAGACCCCACCACCGGGAGTGGATCCGGCTACCACCGAAGCCTTCTTGCTTTTCAACTGTAGCCTAATTGTCGGGTATCACGGAGAACTAAACGCTAACCTTTTTGGCTATATAAGGACTACATAGGGACTGTACTACCCAAAAAAGGTTAAGCGTTACCTACTCGACTACTAGGGTAGGGATTTGTTACCTGGAGGGCTTGCGGTTTCGGGTGGAGGGTCCACAAATAATTAAGGGGCGCGGTGGTTCGGGTTTCGGATTTATGGGGTTGAGGTTGTGGGGCTTCGAGTGTATCAGACACTTTCGGCCGGAGGATTCGAAGTGCTAACAGGCAAAGGCTTTTCACGTGCTGACGGACAAACTCCCGGTTGAGTCTCGCAGTGAAGGCCTAGCCCTGATGTAGGGGCCTTGACAATTAGGCGCAAGTTTGCGTGCGAGTAGTAGTAAGTCCACGATGACGTTACGGTTGCTCGGGTCCGCGTCTTGCAGGGAACGGCCTGAAGGCGCCTATGAGGAGCCTCTTTAGGGTTTATAGGGTTTAGAGCAAGCATGCAACACTCCAGCCGGCGTCCTGCATGACAGCATGATGTGGACGACGCTCATGTCACATACCATCATCAACACCACTGTCAGAAACTAGTATAAGGCTTGGAGCTACATTATCGTATAATTTTGATGGTAGATCCTCACGAACATACTTCGTTAAGTAATTTTGCTTCACGATCGTCCGAACCCCAAAGCAGCGAGCCCTGAACCGTAGGTTTCAGGACATGAAGAGGCCAGAACAATTATAATTGCAGCCCTTTGTACTCATTCAAGAATTGAGGCGCCTTTCTGAATCACTTACAGAATCGTAGTGGAACCCAAACCACTGTACCCTCGAGGCCTGACCCGGACGCGGAACCGGCGGGCCTTGCACAGGAAGGGCAGCAAGAAGCTACAATTCGGGGTACTTCATTTAATACTCTTGCGATATACAGCAGGACGCCGAAACCCTGGACGCAGCACAACAAGAGCACTAGCCCCAAACTGCCTCGAGCCGCCAGGGCCACCGTGAGAGCGGGGCCGCTAGCAGGGCGCAGAGGCTCCTCCTGTAGTTTGCGGTTTTCAAGCTTCAGGGTCTATGGTTGGACAAGTATATCATTTGCCCTCATAATCCTTATTGCTGCTACTGCTACTACTGCTCACAGAGTAACGTAGCAACCACATTTCAGTAGTCCGGCAATGCTTCGTGTAATGGGTAAAGTAAAACAAGAATTGCTGATGCTGTTGTCTTGGCTACTGCTGCTGCACGAGTGTTGCCCGCATCGTTCGGAAGAGGAAGTTCGGCACAATGACGACAACGACACCGGGCACAGAGCATCATTGTCGTCATCGTCGTAGTCGTGGTCGTCGACATTGTGGTTGTCGTCGTTCTCCTTCTTAGCGATACTACTGAATACCAGTCTTGCATCGGCGTTGTTGTTGTGGTGATGGTGGCGGCGTTGGTGGCGGTGGTGGTCATCGCTGTCGTTGTCGTTGCCGAAACTGCTCGCAAATGTCGTAGAAACAACGTCGGCAGTCGCATCTGGTGCCAAGCGGTGTCTCTGAGAGCCTATGCTGAGATTAGTCGCATAGTATAAGTGTATGAGGATCATGGTAACACAACAAGTTAAGCACTGCAAGCAGTTACAACAAGTACAAGCGCAGTCAGAGTATGATTGAGCGAACACCAGTGTTATCAGCATGGTTATGAGCACGACCCCGGACACGACGCTACCATCCGGTCAGCATGGCGATTGCATACTTGAAACTGAGCTGCAAGGCATGATGCCCCTAACGTTGCACAGACGCATGTTGCAGAAACAGGTAGAGCAACAGCTTGACCAACAAAGAATATCTTTTTTGATTAAATGGACACCCATAGCAATCGAGCCACACAGATCTGTCGAAAACTGTCAAGCTGCCTGCACAAGTCCGGTGCATGCCAAAAAAAGTTCCGTGATGTGCACGGCAAAGAGCAGCAAAGAGTCTCCAGAATCCGAGCCTTCACCCTGAGCCCGGAACACTGAACCATTCTATGCTGCAAGTCCTTGCTTCGGGTGTGAGCCACCACGGCCCGCAGTTCTGTTGCCGCCTTTTCGTCGATCCGCGGGTTGTTGGCTCGAGGGTTATAAAGATTTTCGTACATTTTTGCGCAAGATGCAAGACTTTGGGTCCCTCGAGAGTTTAGGGGTGCTTGTACAAAAGCTTCTACTACCAGGTTCAGACTTTGGGGTTTCGGGAGCTTAGGGTTTCGATCATGACGCAAACCGGCCGAAGCAATGGCTCCGTACAGCAGCCTCTCCGGAACTCCGAAGTCCCTTCTGAGTATCAGGGAACATAGTAAGTGGGGAGGAAAGTCAGGTAGCTATAGTTCTGTCTTCTTATAACCCTCGTTCAGGGATGTATAAACCTGTACCCAAACTTTAAACCACAAACCCTAAACCCCAAACCCTAAACCCTAAACCCAAACCCTAAACCCCAAACCCTAAACGCTAAACGCCGAACCCTAAACACTTACTACGTCCCCTGAGCCTCTCAGTAACCCGAAACCCGTCGGCCCCTGAGTCAGCCGCCATCATCAGGAGGCGTCGATGCCCGAACCTTTGATTTGTTGGGGGTTCCTTTGAAGGGTATTGTGGGGGATGGTTCCGTTTAGAGGGTAATATGGGGGGTTCCATAATGGGGTTCCTTTAGGGGTGTTGTGGGGGTTCTACAATAGGGTTCCTTTTAGGGGTAATGTTGTGGGGGGCGGGGGGTTCTGGGATAGGGTTCCTTTTAAGGGTATTGCAGGGCTCCTATACTAAAGTTCCCTTTAGACTTTAGGGGTATTGTGGGGGTTCTACGACAGGGTTCCTTTTGGGGGTCTTATGGGGGGTTCTATCATAGGGCTCCTTCTAGGGATATGATGGGGGGCTCTATGACAGAGTTCCTTTTAAAGGTTATATGGGGGGGGTTCTTGCATGGTGGGAGAAAGCTTTGAGAGGAAAGGGACTTCATGGGACGGCATCCTGCAGGCTTCACGCCAATCTGGAAACAGAGCATAGCATGGGCTGTTGGGGTTCAGGCATTCAGGTTCGAATCGAAAGATCTGGCAGCTGCGTCTGTAGGGCGCTGTGCGGGATACGTAACATTTGAAGCACATGCGCTTGAGACTACTTCATCTAAACCGTATTCTAAGACAGTGAACTCCAACGGCACACAGGCAATGTCTTCATCGGCCATCATCTTCTTCTTCATCAGCGGCAGCAGCGCCAAAGTAAGCAAACAGGGCGCCTTCACCCAATAACCTCCCATATGAACCCTACAACTCCAAAGCCAAAGCTCGAATTCATGCCCGAATTCCAATTACGACAAAATTGAAACCATGGACCCCTGCATAAAGGAGCACCGGACTTGGCAAGCAGTGCATGCAGTAAACCAATCAAGGTATTCCGAACCGCACCTCTAAGCACAACTTTCCACCGTCTCCTGTCACACGACCCTCCGAACTGCACGACCGAACCCTGGACTCGTAAACCTGTTCAGGGCGGGCTTGGGGCACACCCATAACACTTGGTTGTTCGTACTGGTGCAAGCTATCAGAATATGCAGGGTCATATGTTACGTGTCACGATAAGTTCATATATACCTTTGCAAGAACCTGCAGAGCACCTTCAACTCTCAGGCAAGCGGCTTGGGAATTTCCAGTTCCTCGAAGTCCTTCTCGGTGAGGGTGAGCCTCGAATGCGAAGCTTCTTCCCGTTTTGACGGGCTCTTATTTCAGAGCTCTAGGGCTTTAGAAGGCTTGAGAATTTCCCCGAAAAACTGATGCAGGCTTGAATCAACACCTATTTTTACGGTTCACGGTGGTGAAATCTCCTCTCCGCAAAAAGCCTGGCTCATATCGAAAGTGCCGCACAAACAATATTATTCTGATTCAGTTCCCCTTTATCCGGCACTGTAGTACGGCTGGATCAGTGCCCAATAGATACGGCTTGCCGTAGAAGACAACGTTTTCGAGGAAGGGACTACGTATAAGGATGTATCGTCGATAGTGGTTTGTTGAACAACTGCTTGGAACACTTGAAACCCCTGAACGCTACACCGGATAAATCGAGACTCACCGAAACCCTTCTAGTTGCTCAACGCTTACAGAACTACAGGACGTGCAAAAACCTGCAAAACCTGTGAGCCCTAAACGAGGCCAGGCCACAGCACGTTCCCCGTGATCGCCTGCTCCCGGATGACATGCGCCAGCTCCTCCAAAGAGCCCAAAGCGGTTTGAGTCTGGGCATGTTTGAGAGGAGGGGATGGACTTATATAAACAGGGTCGTACAAAATTACTCTATTGAATCTATGCCTGCTTTGGAGAGCTCACCAGGTTGTGCCAGGCATGCTACAGGGTTGATGCGGGGTTGTAAAGTGTCTGGGGTGCCGGGTGCTTTGAAGCAAAAGTGATAGTGGTCCGTGCTGTAGTACTGTACAGTAGTACTGTACGTCAACAGTATGTTTCTGGCTTCTACAGTGCAGGTTCAAGAATTTGCTGCTCACACAACTCAGCTTGACCCTCAAAGTATCTTGTCTGCTCCGATGTGTTATGAAGAACACAGGACCCAACCGGCACAATGGGGAAATGGTGCGCTAACAAGAGTCGACGGATGTAGCCAGCAGACTCACGGATGATCTCATACTCCCATACTCGAAAACCCAGACCCGAAACCGTCTCAGTAGCCACCACGAAAACAAGAACACCAACTCCGCCAAAAGCACCTATTGCTTGCCAGACGATATGACATTCGAAATAAACTATCCTCAAATACCTGCTTTCAAGACTGGGTGTCTCTCGCCTTCTAGGGTACGCTGCAGAGCCACCCCCGCCCCACCCGAGACGAAAAAAACAAAAAACCCGGAACTCCCGCTTTGTCTGCTCCTTGGGAGCCAGGCTGACTTCGAGAAGCCATCGGATCACTTCCTCCTCCTGCCACTCCTCTGCGTCGGGCCCGAGCCCGTAAGGCCGTAGGTGTTCCTTAATTAATTTAAGGGTTCTTTTCAGGGCTCCTTCAAATGACAGGCTTTCAATAAGAGGGGGGCCTCAAGACTCCCTAGCTAGCCCCAAACCCAGGCATCCCAAACCAATGAAACAGTAGACTCCCTCCCCACCCCCCCCCGGCTTAGGGCGTATGGTTTAGGATTTTCGCGAGTTTTACGTGGACCCACAAGATGGAAAGCTTTATGGGGCTGTCCCTGTTTCCCGGTGTGTGGATGGGAGATCCATAAGTCAGGTTGGCGCAGGGTCTGGACTGCCAGTGTGCAGGCATGATCAGTCGCACCATGGTTGTAACGAACTATCTAGCGACTGGTGTGACTAGTGAACAACCTACATAGCGGATGCATGACGAAACTAGCAGCGACCAGAACACATTCAAACATCTACCTCCTGTGCTGAGAAAAGATACTATTGGTAATCCATAAATACGATTCCCTCGACAACGACCCCCACGACCACCGCCACCACCAAGGACTGCGTACTCAAGTACTGCCACTACGACAACTGCCACAGAACATCGAGTGCCCAAGAACAGCACCAGAAGCACCCGCACCATCATCACGACCGCCGTCGACGACGACAAGACGATATCGTAGTAGCAGAAGTAGAGGCAACCGTCGTGATAGTGGCAGTAGTTGTTGTTGCAGACATAGTAGCGGTAGTACAAGTACCAGTACAAGTTGTAACACGAGCGTAGCAATAGGAAGCAAGAGCAACAGCAGCAGGCAACGGTGTTGCCTGAACTGGCCGTTGCAGCAGCGCCGCTGCAATGCTCGGCCGGAATGCAGCCTTCACAGGAGACTACTGAAGCCCAGACCTTGTTTTATGCGGACAATGCCGATCGTTAAACAACCAGGCGAGGGTTGAAAGCGGCAACTCCAGTTTTGAAGCCCAAAGCACTGAAGCCCCAAAGCCCTGGCATATGTGAAACTCTTTGCGCCGTGATTCAGGATGAAGTCTTCTCGGGGCCTGGATGCCCTGAGCAATGCACACCTGCTGGCTGTCGTGACCCGACCCCCTTCGACCACGACCCCAAACCACTCTGACCCGAAAGGATTGGGGGTTATCCTTTGGCCAATCCAATCTGCTTGAGGCTCAGTGACGACCCGACACCCATCGATCCACAACGCCCCCTGAGCACTCTGATGCTACAGCCCTTCAACATGTCCTAGAATCACAGTGGCAAGCTCACACTCAGAATCTGGGGCCCCTTCTTGTATGTCTGTGTGTGTATGTCTACACATACACATATCTGTATGTGTATGTAGGGACATCCACGGAAAGAAGAGCATGACGTCGGGAAGGTACCCTTAACCCGAAATCCCCAAATCCGAAACTCAGAACCGTAAAAGTCTCTGAACCCCGAAACCCTGAATCCTACACCGCACAACCCCAAAGTCTGAAGCCCCAAAGTCCGGCGGGCCTGCTTCAGTTCCACCGCTTCCGGCCTGAGCTGAGGGTCCGAAGACTCTGACACCCCTTCATGACATGAAAATCCTGATCTAATCATCAAGGCCCCATCATAAGTGTACTAGAATAATGTTTCCCCAAAACCCTGTTCTACTTATTAGGCCCCGAATGAAGCAACAAAACTAAAACAATGTTAAGGGTCCCTCGAACATTGAAGCAGAAAGGATTCGCCCTGATCGACCTAAAGCTCCCTCTACATGTAAAGATACAGGGCTCTCTTTGTATGCCTATATAGAGCTGTATATGCACATGTGTATATATACATATATATACATATGTATATGTCGACAGAGAAAAAGAGAGAGAGAGAGAGAGAGAGAGAGAGAGAGAGAGAGAGAGAGAGAGAGAGAGAGAGAGAGAGAGAGAGAGAGAGAGAGAAAGAGAGAGAGAGAGAGAGAGAGAGAGAGAGAGAGAGAGAGAGAGAGAGAGAGAGAGAGAGAGAGAGAGAGAGAGAGAGAGAGAGAGAGAGAGAGAGAGAGAGAGAGAGAGAGAGAGAGAGAGGGGGGGCCTAATATAAGGCTTGCTTAGGGATTGAAAAACTTCTCGCCAAAGCTCCGAGTTGCAGAGTTTCAGCTAAGCAAGTTATGGGTTGTAGACCGGCTTGTTAAGGGTTTCGGTCTGGAAATATGGGGCTTTGACAAAGAGGGTTCAAAAACAGATGGAACACAGGTACCTTACCGATGCCAGTAGGATTTGTGGGAGGTGGCTTAGCTTCGGTGCTGAAGGTACCCTAAACCCGCATGAGACCTCTCTGCAGTGAGATTTCGTTTGACTGCGTTGGATGTGAGGGGGTCTTGGGGCTTGTCGCTTGAGGGCTCCGGGCTTCGTTCGTCGGATCCAATAACACTGCTTCAAGTGCAATTAAAAACGCCTTAAGTGTATTTTATGAGGCGTAGCCTTAAGTGTTTTTAGAACCCCCGGTGCTAAACTGGTGTACCCAGACGCTGCGGCAATTGTTTGGAACTTGCGGCAATTGTTGCGACAATTGTTCGACTGTCAAAACAATTGTTGCGACTCGCGACAATTGTTTGCTTGTCGAAAAATCTTTTGCGACCATTGATCGACTGCCATAACAACTGTTACGACATGTGTTTGATTATTGCTACAAGTGTTGCAAAAAGAACACCGGTTGAATGGAGAAAGCACCAAATAAATATGAGGGCATTAAGGTGAAAGTAGAGAAGCCCAGGTTCAAAGTAGAGAAACCAAAGTTTAAAGTAGAGAAACCAAAGTTTAAAGTAGAGAAACCAAAGTTTAAAGTAGAGAAACCAGATTTAAAGTAGAGAAACCAAATTTAAAGTAGAGAAAAATTATCGCCACAATCGTTTAAACAATGTCGCGTGAATTGAACAATTTCCGAAACAATTGTCGCACGAATTGAAACAATCGACAAACCACCCCAAACAATTAAACAATGTTTGTACACGATTTAGGAGGGGACTTGCGGACGGGGGTTCTAAAAACACCTAAGCGTAGCCTACAACGTCTGCGACACATGGCTTGTGGTCCAGAGTGCGCGGTTTTGGATCGGGGCCTACCGGAGGCAGCAACTCTGTTCCTTGACACTCTGGACTCCGGATTTAGGGAAGCCGCCTGCTCCTCAAGGGACACCCTTTAACCTCAGCAGAAACCTGCGGATCTCCAGAGAAAACACTTGTTAACAACTTAAGCTGCCACAGACAAAAACCTAGGGCTCCGCTTCCCGAAAAATAGGATGATGTTATGGGGTTAGTTACCTACACTGTTTTAGTAACCGGAGCCGTAGAGAAAAGACAGGGACGAAAAGCAAACCCTGAGTTCTCCTGATGATGGTGTTGTGAGCTCCAATACAAGTCTGAAAGATCAGTACCGATATGCCTTTGCAATGTATGGTCTCCATGTTACTATCATCCTGACAAACCCCTTTCCATCGCCACTAAGACTCAGACAGACCGTATAAAATCCCGGGTCTGGTGTCTTACCAAGAGCTCCCGACTCGAACCACCTGATAGATCCCTCATAGAGCCCCTATATGGTAGTCCCCTTCAAAGGAGCCCCATATATTGAGGGGCCCCCATCGCAAGCTTTAGCCAACTGTCTGGGATCCAAACTTCCTGGCAGAGGGCACAGAGCTCGATCGCGTAGTCACCAGGCAGCTGGCCAGTTCCCAGAGGGGCCCAGGAGTTCTAACCAGGGTTTATGGTGGGAGTTCCTTATTATAAGTAGAGTATAATGAGCCCCAGTGCCCTATTCAGATTATTAAGGCCCCTATTTTCTAGCACCCTTCTAGATCCCTTATACGGTAGGGGGTTTGAGGGAACGGTAGTGCTTCGCGCGAACAAGGCTCCAGGCACGACCTGTAGACGCTCATGGCAGGGCCATAAGTGCCTTCATCGCATCAGCACAATTACGGCTAAATCACACAATCCCATCTCGCGGCCTTCTCACTTTTCTCATTAGTGCCACACGCCGATACCCAGCCCCATAATTCAATCATCAACCTTCTACCCAAAGCATTTACAACCCTGGTTGTACCGCACATCCTAAAGCCCAAGAGGTCTTCAGAGCCTGCCCAAGCCCGCTGGAGGATATGGCGTCAGCTGCACTGGCGCCCCAACGCGAGGACCTCGAGGCCTGAGACACGGATATCGGATAAAACTTGTACTACGATTCTTGTGTAATGCTCAGGACTCAGAGGAGCAATTGTGGTATGTGAGATGTCTGAAGCAAGGGCTTGAAGGGCATCGGGGGCAGATCTTAAGAGTTGCGGCTGCCAGGAGCAGTGCAGGGCTCGAGAGCCCCAAGGAATCTTGTCAATCGTCCTGCTCTTCCTCCTCCTATAAAAAACTACGGTTTAGGGATTAGGGTTTATGGTAACTGAAACCCTAAACCCTGCAGATCATCCGGACAAGGCGGTGGATCGCTGTTGCTTTCTTGACTTGACAAGTAAGAAACAAGGGAATGAAGATGATGACCTCCCAGTGCAGACCGAGGCACTCAATCTGTCGGCAGCTGCCCTGGTACCTTTATCTGAATTCTAAGTAGTCAGTGTAGATAGATGTCGCTTACACATATACATGAATATGAACATATGGATTATACTATATATATATATAGATATACACGTAGCTCTGTATATATATATATATACGTACATATGTTGAACCTCTAAGTATGTGAGGTCTCCAAAGCAAAGGCTCAACAATCCTTAGCCAGGGGTCGTAGTAGCACACATTGCCTCCTTGTTCCATTTCCTGTACCATTCCTCCTGAAGCGTTCTCTATGTCAAAGCAGCCGTCCTTGCAAAGGCGCTTGTCGCATCAACATCATCAGTAGTTTGGAGGACTCAGACCCACAACTTGTTACAGTAAACCTAAACCCTAAAAAACAAAACACTTTCATGATCATGCCCAAGCATCAAAGGTCTTAAAGCAATGGATGACCCCTGAGGTCGTCCATGAAACATCGCACAGACCCCATTATTGAAACAACCGGCCGCTAGGCTTCGGACAGCCCGGTTCGAAGCAGTGGGGGCGGCAGAATCGTTGTCTCAGTCACGGTTGAAGGGAGTTTAGGGTTTGAGCTATAGCGGTTTAGGGCTGTTGACTAAACCCTAAACTTGCCCTGAACCCTGACTCCTATACCCGTGCCCCTAAATCCTGAATGCCAAACCCTAAAGCCTGAACACAACACCATTGCGGTGGGGTCGGTGTCCCAACATGCAAAAGCCGAATCTTGCGAGAGATCTTATCTATGGAATAGACCTCAGAGGCAAGCATCCCCCCTAGGAATTTGATTAAGGGCTTAGGGGCTAGGGTTTAATTCAGTTTAGTCGTTGAGGTTTAGGGCAAACCTGAACCGAAAGAAACTAGCCTCTTTCAAAATGTTGCAACAGAAAGGTATGAGATCCCTCTGGAAGGTTTGGGGTAGCAATACAGTGTTGCTGAAAGGCTTAAATTCTGGAAGAGGCCTCATAGTAGGGACCCCTCTGGATGCTAAAGCATTCTAGCGGCCTCAATTCATGGAATGGGGTGTTGGGGTAGATCATACATCGTAGAATCAACGGACTGTAAGCGGCGAGAGCAAGGATCCCTCTTCAATTCAAGGTATCCGGACCTTCCCTCTCTCTCTCTCTCTCTCTCTCTCTCTCTCTACCGATACATTTATGTACATATACAGATATATGCGTATATATATATATATACACATACCTATATATATATATATATATGTATACATATATATGTACAATACAGACACAGACAAAGAGGCATATGTACATACAGCGGTTCAATCCTCAGACCTGCGATGCCAACACCGTACCCGTGCAGCCGTAACAAAACCAAGACGAGCCCATGGACCCGACACCCAGGGGCAAAACAACCTGACAACTATCAAGCCTGAACTAAATTCGCAGGTTCTCAGCAACATTACAAGCGCTAAACTGCAAAAGTAAAACCCTACCCGAACTGCGGATCCTTCCGTTAAAAAGCCTTAATGAATCAAGTGCCTTACAGTAACAGTGAGGTTCGCAGACTCCGGGTTGAAAAACGGACCCCCAAGTCTCGAGTAACATCGAGGCCTTAACAGTTGCAGTAGGTTTTGTTGGGGTACATGATACCACGGAACCAAGCGGAATATTTTGGTAACTGGCTCGGGCTTAAGGGGGGCTTAAGTTGAGGGTCTTGGCTTTTGGATCTTGTTAAGAGGTTTTTAGATCTAGGGCCTAGTGTGAGGAAGCCAATAAGCAGGGAAGGCCAACGCGTTAAGCTCAAAGAATTCTGGGCCCGCGTACGACATGGCAGCCAGCTGCGCCCGGAAGGCTTCCTGTTCGAGACACTTTTTTCAGGTTCATGATTCAAGATTGTTCGGGGCGAGACAGACTGAGAGGGCAAGATTTGGGGTCTCGGTTCTTGTTTGTCTAGGGTTGTGAAGTCTTCTCGAGCTGAGAGAGGTATATGCGATTCAGCGTTTGAGCGTTGTTTTTAGCCCGGCCGGGAAACCCAAATGCAACAACACGAAAACCGCTTAAACCCTAAACACCCTGAACCCTCAACCCTAAACCCTGAACCCTAAACCCTAAACCCGCAACCCTCAACCCGAGCCCGAACCCCAGAGGCTCCTTCTTGACCACCCAGCTTGAACAACAGATGGGTAGTTGTGAGAATTAGGGTCCCTTGTTGGGAACCCTAAATCATAGGTGCCGTATTTATAATAGGGACCCAAAAAAGGGACCATACTTTTGACTTTGACAAACACCCAGATGCCAAACAAACTCCACACCACGCGTGCGCCCACACATTGTCACATAACTCGATATGTATGAATATCATTTATTACAATGTAATAATTACAATTCAATATACACCCCTAAAGCCTAGACCCAGTCGCATCTTTTTGCATGCAGCTGCAGGCCTCGCCAGAGCTGTGCGACAGACCGGTTGCAGGGCGTAGGGCTCAGATTCCAAATTAGGGTTTAGGGCTTAGGGTTTATGTAGGGTTTGGGGACCCTAAACCCTAAATCCTGCTCACAGTTTCAACGTTTCAGGGTGTATGGGCTTCGTATGTACCATAACAGTGCGGGTTGGGGTTCAAAGAAGATAACGGGTGGACCTGACCCCAGCTGTTGTATGTAGGTAGCACTTCATATTTGGTGATATTCAATCCTTTGTGGGTTTGAATTGTTTAAGGATTTGGTTGCCGCTTCTGGTAAAGCAATAAACATCACCCAGACCCCAAGAGCGAACCATTACAAACCGTACTTACAGGTTCAGGAGACTTCGTCGGTAGGGTTCCAAGCACCTGAATCGGCGTAATAGTCAGACACACCTATAGTAACCAAGCATTTCAATAGACCGTGCAGGCGAAGCACACATCATAATGCAGGGTCTAAAACATGCTTAGCTCCTATATTCGTTCGTCGACTCATAGCAGGAACTTCCCATTACTCAAACCTCGAGAATACACACTTAACTAAAGACTCAATACACTCCCTACATGTCCTACGCGAAAATCCCTCAAAGTCCATCACTCTAAACCGAAATCCTTTATCTGTGAGCCAACTGAAAACTGTGTACATTCCCTATGGGATAGATCGGTTTTCACCGCAACACAACCCATGTACCCACCCAAGCTCGTACTACCACGCATTCAATCCCTATCATGCCCCCTTTAAGTACGCCCTGTTAGCCCTAGTAGACCCAGCAAAGCAGGCATTCCTAAGCCCTAAACCGGAGGCTTTTCCCGGCAGCCATATGCCGAATTCATGCAAAGCCGCATGGGTTGAAGGCATGCGGGCAGGGCAAAAGTGTTAACGAAGCCTTTAAACGCATGGTAAATCTTCGCTTCATAGGGTTTGTTCGTCTTTGCAGGATTTCTTGTTGTGTCGTGAGGTTTACGCTTTCATTATTGGCATCTACAGACATTCATGTCCTGTTCTCACCTGGAGGCTTTGGGCTTTCGCTTTGCCCTTCGTTGTGGATGATGAAGGTTTTCGTTGCGGCTCGCTTCCTTTGGGTTTCGGGCTTTCGTTTGAGGGTTTGGAGTGCAATGGAAGCAGGATATCGATTGAGAATTTCATGGCTTCGCTTAGTACCCAAGTCTCATCTACCCCGCCAAGGCTTTACCTGCACAACTACTATCCTACAACCAAACTCCCACTGTAGAGACCCTGAAGGTAAGGTCCATTACTCAAGCTTGCGGTGCATGGAGCGAGAGGTCAAGATGAAGGTGCACGGAAGTCCCAGTACCCAAATAGGACGACTTGGTGATTCCGAAAACCATTCTGAATACTGTAGTGCGGTACCTGGGCCCTTAATTCGGGGTATGGGAATTCGGGAAGACTGGACTTTCTCTTCGGCACCTCGGTGCTGAAAGGAATGACTAGACTAGGGTTCGCAGGAACTATCTCGATTTCTTCGGCCATACCCCCGTTCCGCCTAAACCTCCAACTGGCATGGGCGGCCCATGCTGCCAAGAGATCTTTTACAGATCAGGGGCGAGTGAGGAGGTGCGAAGGAGTGTGTGAGCAAATACGAGCAGCGTAAGTGACTGCTCGAGACACAGATTGCAGAGTACACCGATAAATGCTAGATCCTTCAGCATTTCCCCAACTGCATAGAGGGGTTTTGAAAACGACCCTCAGGTCAAGGATTCAGGATGTAGGGCCTACGGTTAAGGGTGTAGGGTTTCGGGCCTTACTTCAGGGTTGCTGGGTGGTTTTTTTCCGGCTTTCGGGGAGACTTCAAGGATCTCGGACTTAGTCTCTACTATTGCTAGGTAGGATTACTTAATAATTAGAATAGGGTTTCGGGGCCCATTATACGCTGAATTTAGGAACCCCCAAAATAGTATAGGCAATTATTGAGGCCCCTGTAGTACCTCAAATAAGTAGACCTGTTTAGCTGTCCTGTTGTTTATGTTGCGACTTCTGCCAGTGGGGGTCTTTGCAAGGGCCTCACTATCAGCGTGCATGTGCGCTGAATTAGAGGCCTCAGTGATTAGAATAGGGTTTTGGAGCAAATTATACGATAATTATATTAAGGAACCCCAAGATACAATATAGTATGTGTTATTAAGGCCCCCATTTTCGGCTTTGGGGGTTTAAGCTCCCGGGCTGAACTAGGATTGAGGGGTTCAAGGGTTTGGGGCCCAGGTGTTGAGGGTGGTGGGGATGCCTAGTTTTGCCGGGGCCTCATAGAATAGGGATGAATAGGAATATAGCTATAATGAGGAGTCCGAAGGAAGAGTCTACGTGATTCTTGAGGCTCCCTAAGCCCATTATAGAGACCGACGCTTTTCGAGAAAAGCCTGCGATTCGGCGAAGAAGTCATCCTCACTCGCCCCGGCGCCCCGGCATCCAACGCAATAAAAACTACTTCAAGATCCTCAAGATTTTTGTTTGGGGGTGGGCGTGGCTGCGGGGGACATATTCCTTTTATATGCACCGACTTTGAAGTAGCCCAAGGAATGCTACTTTTTCACCGTATATAGCATAGCATATCATGTTATTAAAGATACGGATCCTACACCTTTGGTGCCTCAGGCCTGTAGCCCATGAGCACGCCTCTCAGACGGAAGTAGCCCTGGAAGCAGCCGCGAACCATCTCCAGACGGAACCAGCGGGCTGGCAAGCTGCCGTGTACCTAATTCTTAAAGAAACGACGCTTTTAGTGGATCCTTTTCACGGCCATAAGGTGAAGCATTCATCCTTGACCATGTTTCAACTTTCTCGAGTTTGCGGTCGAATGATTGCTTTGGTTTGGGGGTTGTTTCGCCCATGTTCCTTTAAGGAAGCAGCAGTAGGGTTGTCTACGCTTTTCGATGCCGAAGGTCATTTCACAATGCGGGTTTTCGGAGTTCTGGCTGCTGGGGTGCAGGGGTTCAGGGGTGTGTTTGAATCTGAGACAGTTCTCAGAAGGCCTCTGACTTTCCATGAGGGTTGCTGTTGGCTAGTATGATTGTTGAGGGGTTCCGAGCCTCAGGCTTTGAGCCCTTCATTCCAAGGGCAGAGACATGGAGGGCGCAGGCAAGACACTCTTGATGATGTTTCGAAGTGTGTTGAGGCGTCAAGTGCTTCGCGTGGTTCAGTGAACAGCAATGAACAGGATGAGAGCAGGCGGCATGGACAACGACAGGGACAACGATAATCAATACGAATGTCGCAAGCGGGCTACGATACACTCATACAAGAGCGCACATACAGATACATACATACATATACACATACATACATACATATACACATACATACATACATACATACATGCATACATACATACATACATACATACATACATACATATATACACATACATATATACATATATACACATACATACATACATACATACATACATACATACATACATACATACATACATACATACAGACATGCATACATACATACATATATATATATATGCATACAAGTTGAATGTATGCATGTGTGCATGAAAGCATGCATTGGAGTATATATGTATAGATGAATGCATCTGCATGACAATTGCGGCGATCAACATATCCTACCAAGCATCATCTATCAATGGGTACACGGCGTATTTCTCACGGGAACCATGTTTGCAGGCTTGGGGCGAGAGCTAACGCATGGACGACCGCATCAAGGAGGCAGCATCCCATTTCGGCTTGAGGGTAGTACCTACGATTTATGCTCGGCTTAGACAAGATGCAGGGTTTGCCACCACCACCATGAGTCTTGAAACCTCTAAATGTGCTGAAGATGCAAAGCCTCAACTCCATAAGAATATGCCCAGTCACAGGGAAGTACTCTTCGCGGGTGCGCAGAGTGTCCTTGTCTGCCTGGGCAGCCTGGCAAGGAATTCGTGCTAGGCTCCGAGCCTTTTTGTGCCTAAAGCTCCGACTTAGACGAGAAACTTTGCGAAGTCAGCTGCAGGCTGTTCTTTGGGGCTTTTGTCGAAGCATCGAGTTACATAGCAATCATGGCAAACCCGCGTTTAACAACGCAAAAAACGATGCCCTGAAGCCCCAGACCCGCCTTGATCCACTGAATGCCATCGGGCGAGTAGCTGAGGCGAACCTCCACCTCTTCATCGGGACATAGTCATGGGGTTTGGGGATTATAAGCTTTAACGTTTAGGGATGGTTTGGGCGTAAGGTTTAGGGATTAGGGATATGCTGCTATGCTCTATCCGGGATGCCAGTGTGCACGTAACGAGTCCTGAGGGGTTTGGTTCCCGGTTCAGACGTACCTTGAATTGTTTATGATATTTAAACACACGCACTCTCTGTGCATATACATATGCACATGCACACATACATATGTACTTGTACATAGATATATAAGGAAG